AAATGGCAATATATCAGCATATGAAGATATTGTGATATTTTAATGTATCAATATTTTTTCCCTCGTCTTTAGAAGTTTTGAAGTCTGTAAAAAAGAAGCTTTTAAAGAAGAAGAAGTAGTATTTTTTTTTTTTTTTAGACTTTAGAAACTCAGAAGCTGATCAAATATTGGGTTAAATATCGGTGGGGTGGCCGATGTCCGATATTCAGTTTTAAGGCCGATACCGATAGGGGGCCGATTATATCGTGCATCCTTAAAAATAAGTTATCTAAATGAGAAAATATTTTTTAAACTGACTCTATCTTGGCTGATTAGTTAAAGAAGCACTCACAGGTCTGTGTTTGTGATTATAGGTCTCCTTTAAGGGCACAGCGGTCGCAGTGACATGGGCAGCCAACGTTCTTTCACACCCTGTAGAGCAAACACCAGAGTCCTGCCTGCAGCGCCAAGCAGAAAATGACTCAGCGAAATGGAATCAGGGGCTCGAGTGATCCCAGTCTCGACTCTGAGACCTCCAAGGCTTTCGAGTTGCCCAACGGTTTGGACCACGACGAGGCGCAGGGGGCGGCTGACTGTGAGGGAGGGAGGGGGAGTGAAAGCGGAGACCCGGTGGCTATAACCGGAGGAGGCGTCATAGCTCCGGATGGCGGCTGGGGTTGGGTGGTGCTGGTTGCAACCATCCTGGTTCTGGCTCTGACCCTGGGCTTTCCCTCCTGTGTGGGAATCTTCTACACAGACCTGCAGAATGAGTTCACCGCCACCAACAGCGAAACATCTTGGGTGCCCTCCATCATGACGTCAGCGCTTCATGCAGGAGGTAAACTGAATCAGGGCTACCTCTAAAGTCCAACACTAACACATGAACACTTTATATCCCAGCAAACCATTATGAGCCTGAGAATAGGGTCCAGCTAACGACTGAAGTTACAGTCATATTAACACCTACGAATGTAAGAACATCCTTGGAGGTTGCCCTTACTACCCCACAGAGGAGGGTGTAAATGCTTTCATTGTTCAGTGGAACACGTGAAAGCTGAGAGGGAGAATTTGTGAGTGTTTTGAACAGTCTTGCTGTGTTTGTGTTAGTTTAGATGAGATTATTTCATGAGAAGCTGCAGCCAGCTTATTTCCCAAAGCCCAAACTGACCCTTTTATTTTTTTACAGAGGTGTGAAGCTCGTAGATTTTGCTTTTTTCATGCATCTGTCTGTTTACGTTTCCCCTTTTTAATTGTCTTGGCATGCAGTCAGTCACTAATTTACGTACACTCTTCTTAGCTTGAGTGCCATCCTTATTTTGGGCTCTAGCTTTTAATTCAAGAAGTTTAGTTCAAGAAGCCATTGTTTTTAAAGGTGGAAGGATCATGCAACAAATATATTAGTTTTTGAAGTCGACATTTGATTATTTTATTTAACAGAAAATTGTAGATTTGTGTTAAAAAAAGGTTGATTTATTGTCACGCAGACAAGAATTTAAAGAACGGGTCACACAAGTTAATCCACAACCTCAAAGTTGACCTGTTGTATTCATTCTAAAACCAGTTCTGATGTGGATTTGGGATTATTGTCCAGCTGGAACACCCAGTTGTGTCCAATTTAAGATCAATTTAGGTAACTTGAAGGGTGCTTTCTTTCTTTTGTTACATCCACCTTGCACAATAGCAATAACAAACTCTCAGTATGATTCTGCCACCGCTGTGCTTTACAGTTGGTACTAGGGTTGGGCGGTTTGCTGTTGCAATATAATCCCACTTTAACAAAACCCACTTTTCAAATTCAACACAATTTTGGTCACAATTCATTTAACAAGAGAAGGACCCTTTAGGTGGCAGCAGTAGGATTTTTTTCCCCAGAAAGGTGGAGAAAGTTGCAGCTAGCATGCAGATCCATGCATGCCAGTAGAAGTAAGAAGTTTTTTTACACAAAAGTTACCTTACAATTCTGCATCCATGGACTGTGGAGAGGAAAACTTTCAACATAATGAAAAAAACTGAAACTACAAGCTTATGGTTGGTTCAAAGGAAAATAAAAAATAAAATTGCAATCACAATATTGCAGAAAAATAATCGCGATTTTGATTTTTGATGAAATCGTTTAGCTTTAGTTGGTACAGTGTGTTTATGTTTTAAAGTTCCAGTCCTTGTGGCGTATTGTAAATTGTTACTTTTTCAAGATTTTATTGCTGGACTCTCACATTTAGCTGGTTTTACTGTATATTCATTGACTCGAAATGCTTCCATTGATAAATTAGCGATGGTTAAGCAGGTGAGATAGTTCAGGGTAGCAGAGACCAAATTAAATTGGGTTATAATTGCATAATCAGGCTAAATAATGTATAAGATCCCTATTGATATCATTTATGATTTGAGACTGATCAGATTACCGTATATATGGACATGTTTGCACTGAATTAAGAAGCGGTTCTCTGTGAAGATAAGGATGAACTTACATTAAATCTCATGTTACATGGAAAGTGAATGAATAGTATAGTGAAAATGCTATATTTTTTTAAAATCCTTTTTAGGTAGAAAATTACGGAAGAGGATTAGGGCCACTGGAAAAAAAAAAATGTTAACTGACTTTTTTTCTCAGAGTTCTGACTTTTTTTCTCAGAGTTCTGACTTTTTTTCTCAGAGTTCTGACTTTTTTTTTCGGGTTCTGACTTTTTTTATTGTCAGAATTCAGTCAGAATTCTGAGATTAAAGTCAGAATTCTGAGAAAAAAGTCAGAATTATGACTTTTTACCATACTAAACTGAAATAAAATAAAAAAATCGGTTAACTTTTTTTTTTCCACTGGCCCTAATTCTCTTCCGTAGAAAATAGATCAGTGACTGCAGACATTATTTCAATTCTGTCTCTTATCTAGTAAAATTCTTTTAGTTTTGTTTTTAGAGTCCTAAATAGATGTGTGCTGACCAGTTATAAAAGGATCCGTGCAGCCAGTGATGTCAACTTCCTCCTTTTTTATCACAATGTTATGTATTCTAAATGTGACGCAGTAAACGGAGGGGGAAGTGTGAGAGCGCAAAGGTGTCTAAAGTCAACATGCAGCGGATTTCCAATATGTGCACAGCACAGTTCAAACACTAGTTTATTATTTTTTTTCCTTCCACCTGTAAATTTGATGCATATCCAGTAAAATTCAACTAAAAACAAACAAACGCATTGGAAGGAAGAATGTGTCAACAGATTTTTATCAAAGTTGTGGATCTCTTTCGAGTAAATGTTCACTAAGCCAGAATACATCACAGCTCTGTTCACTGTGTATTTATTAAGGTAAACTGTAAACCCTTCACTACATTTTTAACATTCTTTGGCAATCTACAAGAGAAGGAAGAATTTCATTTAGTTTTTTTTTTTTTTCTTTTTTCAGTTTTCTAGTTTTTGTTGTTTGTTTTGTTGATTTTTCTCAGCCTTTCTCTCCTGTCTGTGCTTTGGAGATGGGCAGCCGCCCTCTGCTTCCCTTCTGGTGCTGATAAGGCTAATCCTCGAGGACACAGTATCAGTCTAAAAGCTTTTCGGTGTGTTGACCCATTTCTGGGGCCTTTCGGAGCTACAAGTTGAAGTTGCTCTTCTCGACTAAATTTATGTCCTAAAGGCTACGCTGCATGCTGTACATCCAGCACAGATCAAATCTAATGGAAAATGATTTATTCTCCTGCTTTCTCACCAAATTGGTTAAAGCATGTGCTAAAGCTGTAGCACTAACTGTTACAGTTTGGGTTTTTGAGGCTGTTCTCATGGATTTTTGAAACAGGAATGCTTTGAGCTTTGAAATTCTCTTAATCCCAAAGAAATTGGATAAAAACTTTGAGGTTTATCTTCATTAAGCTGCACAAAGCTGCCACTTCCTTTCCACTTTTCCAAGTTGAAGAATTAGGAGCTGTATGGGTTCATAGCACGGACATGGCATTCAAGCACACAAAAAAAGAACTTGTATTAATTGTAGTGTTTTTCAGGTGTATTGTGGGTACTGTCAGCTTAACCAAGATCTAATATTGCAGCTGAAAGTATCCTACAGCCTTTTAGCTTAGAAACAATGTTTGGCATTGTTGAATTTATATCTTCTCCTTGGATGTTCATGCTTTATGTGCGACATACTGTTTATAAACTAAGAGCATCACATGTGATCCACAGGTCCCTTCTGCAGCGTGCTGGTGGGGAAGCTGGGCTGCAGGCTGACCGTCATGTTGGGCGGAATCCTGAGTGGGCTTGGAATGGCCGCCAGCTCATTTACCCGATCCATCACTGAGCTTTACATCACCGCTGGAGTGATCACAGGTCAGCAGACACACAGCGAAGTCATTATTGTAGCTGAAATATAATGCTACGTTTACACCGGACGCAGCAGGCGCAGCAGAAGCAGCGAGTTTACATGCAAAGTCAATGGTTGACGCGCGTCAAGGAGCAGCAAAAGGTCCCGCAGCACGTTTTGAGCAGCAGGCGCAGCGCGTCTGAGCAGCTGAAGCAGCGCGTTGGGAGCGTTTAAGCATCTGACGCGCGTGACGCGCCTCAGAAACGCGCTGCTGCTCGAGATGGAAAAATTTAAATTTTGCTGCTCAACGTGCCGCGTCAACCAATCAGAGAAGCTGATCTGGGAGCTGGCTGGGAGAGAGACACAGCGCTGATGACACAGAGCGCTGTGATCACTCCTCTGAAACAGCTTATTGACGCCTAAATTAACTTAAAATGCAGAAATCTGCCGGCAGAATATGTTCGCTTTTAGTATCCTGGTGCCTGCAGTTTAGATTATTTAGATGAAAAGCACCTACCAGCCGCCGCAGTGAACCGCGAGGAGGCGACCCGGCCTGTTGAATGGGATCCTACTGACAGCGCACCGCTGGGATGTGGGGGTCTGAGCGGCTCCGACAGAAATAATATTGGAAGGTGGGATGGTAATCTGGATGAACTGACTGCACTGATTACATTTTCAGGTGGATTTTCTCACTTAAAAACATATTAAAACTACTTTTTTCCCACTGATCACAGCAAATATAGCTGCAAGGCAGAGAAAGGATAGTGAAGCTCCGCCCAACGCTCCGCCCAACCGCGCAGCCAGAGCAGCAAAGCTGCTTCAGCCGCGCGTCAGAACTAACTGGTACAAGCAGTAAAAATGAAGCAGCAGACGTGATTTTGCTGCGTCCGGTGTGAACGTAGCATATTGGTTGAGGGTTACCAAAAAGCTTAAAATGAACTAATAGAAAGATACTTTATCCTTCAATTAGTCAAATGTTGACGACCTTCAAAAACTTCTACAAGAAACAGTGAAAGGCTATGAAGTTTTCATGATACAAGTGTTTATGATTGATATGTGGTGTGCAATTTTAACAGCAGAATATGAATCTATTAATTTATATATAATTAATACATCATTCAAATCAGGGTAAAACCAAGTAATGATGGTTAGTTAAATGATTATTACTAACTACCAGGTGTTATTAAAAGCTTATCTTTGTGGCTGGATGTTTTGAACTTAAAATCCAAGATGTCTTCACCATCAGTAAAATGTAAAATCACTTTAGTTCTCTTTTACCCCTTGTTTCACTCACATGGTGTGACATCCTCTTTGCTTCCAATAAATAAAGTCTTCTGTTGTTTTTTAGCTTTTTTATTTACTGTGTCGTTGATATTGTTTTCAAAGGTGCTTTGAATAGAATATTTTTTCTTCTGTATCTTTATTATACGGAAGAGGATTAGGGCCAGTGAAAAAAAAAAAAGTTAACTGATTTTTTTTATTTTATTTCAGTATAGTATGGGAAAAAAAAGTCAGGATTCTGACTTTTTCCCCATACTATACTGAAATAAAATTAAAAAATCAGTTTTTTTTTGTTTTGTTTTTTTGTACACATCTATTCCTTCATGGTGCCCATCTACATTAAGAGTCAGAATTCTGAGAAAAAAAAGTCAGAATTCTGAGATTAAAGTCAGAATTCTGAGAAAAAATTTAGAAGTCAGAGATTAAAGTCAGAATTCTGACTTTTTTCCCATAATAAACTAAAATAAAATTTAAAAATCAGTTAACTTTTTTTATTTTTTTCAGTGGCCCTAATCCTCTTCTGTATTATTATTATAAATACTATGTAAAATGATAAGTAATCTGCTTAAAAGTTGTAAAGATTTTATTCTCTTCTTTATTTTTTCTTTTTGCTCCAGGACTTGGCTTCTGCTTTAGTTTCCAACCAGCTGTGACCATCCTGGGTCACTACTTTGTGCGTCGCCGTGCGTTTGCCAACGCCATGTCCTCCACGGGGACGGCTCTGGGACTCTGCACCCTTCCCTTCCTTGGAAACTATCTCCACACAGAGTTCGGCTGGAGGGGGAGCTTCCTCATCCTGGGGGCGGTCCTGCTGAACTGCTGCGTGTGCGGAGCTGTGATGAGGCCTCTGGAGCCCAAAAAGCACCGCGGCCAGCCGCTGATGAACCACGAACCTCTGCTAGAGAAAGAGACGAAGCAGGAAGGAAGGATTCGGACCATATGGAGGTTCCTAGTGACCTCCCTAAAAAAGCACATGGCCTTCGATCAGCTCCACAACAAGCGTTACTGTGTGTTTGCCATAGGCATCACCTTAATGATGCTGGGCTTTGTGGTGCCGTTGGTGTACCTGGTTCCTTATGCAACGGCACACGGCATGGAGCCGGGTCGGGCCGCGCTGCTGCTCTCCATCCTGGGTATTGTTAACATCGTGGTGCGGCCGCCCTTTGCCATCATCTTTAACATGCCCTGGTTCAAAGGGCGGCACATCTACGTGTTTGCCTCCGCTCTGCTGTTCAACGGCCTCAGTAACAGCATCTGCTGCATCGGGGCCTGCTTCCCCGTTCTGCTGGGATATGTGATCATGTACGGGCTTACAATGAGCGTGGTCGGATCGCTGATGTTCACCGTCTTGATGGATATAGTGGAGATGAGCCGCTTTCCTTCAGCGCTGGGTCTGCTTGCTGTCATGGAGAGCATCACGCTCCTGATTGGACCTCCGCTGGCAGGTAACAGTTGAAGATTTACAATATAGATACGTTTCCTCTGAAGTCCACATGGTGTGATCAGAAACAACATAATGGATGGTTGAAAATCAGTGTTGGGAAGTAACAAAATACGTTTATTTGACGCATATCTTTACTTTACTTGAGCACAGTCAAATATTGTACTTTCTACTCCACTACATTTGGATGAAGCGGTTACTAGCTTGTTCCTTATGACTCAGCTTTGCTTTGCTTTGTAATCTACTGTTGCTGTGTTTCTCTCTGGAAATGCAACTTTAACATGTAAGATAGCAGCCTTTAGGACTGAATTTGGACACCACTGTTTTAGAGATTTGCATGAAATTGCACAAATGTGAGAAACTCAGGGCATATATTATTGTAGTTCATTAAGACATCAGTTTTTGCAATGTGGCCAAGTTGTTCAGTAGGATGACTTCTCAAATAGGGGTGTAAATAACAATCGTTTTGTATCGATGCATCGATCCAACAGCCGACGATCCGATGCATCGATACGTCCACAAGAATATCGATTTAGGTTTTTTTTCCCTCCGATCTTTTTTATCCATTTGCTCCTGGACGTAATTCTCCCTCCCGTGCTGCGGTGCCGCTAAACCTATTTTGCCCTCCTACCTCACTTCCTGGTTATACTCTTACAGCAGTGTGTTGCAGTGAGCTTGACACAGAATTTTTTTAAATTTATGCTCAATATTGAAGCGTGGTCTGTGCTGTGGGTCTAGAGAAGGCCGAGGCGGTGAGAAAGTGGGGGCGAGTTTAGTCCAACGACGGAGGGACATGAGGGCCAAAAAGAGTGGAGATCCAGGTGGAAAAAGGGTCCCAGCGTTCTCACGCACCTCGCTCTTCTAGCAGGTCAAACTTCATGAGTTGTTTTCTGCAATTTGGCGGCATGGTTTGCAGTCAGCTACAATTTGGGAGAGGTGCAGCGGAGCGTCTGTGGAAGGGGACGGGGACGTCTGGAGCTTAGGTATTGCATTGCACTCATTGCACTGATTTTGTGCAGTATTTTTTGATGCAAAGCCTTGCAGAATCTATAACGCAGGGGTATTAGTATTTTTCAGTGAATGAGGTTTTAATAGGAATAGGTGGAGTGCAACTTTTCTACTTTTATTTGCTGTTGTTTCTCAAAAGAAAATGCATAACGATATTACAGCTTTCATTGATTTATTTCAAATTTGAAACATTGTCAGGCCTGTAAGGTGTAAAACAAAAAAATAAAAAATAAAAAAAAATAAACCAATTAATCGAATCAAATTATATCATGGTGTATTCTTGAGTATCGAAAATAATTGAATCTTTGGGTCAGGAAATCGATACTAAATCTAATCGCCATGATGAATGTGATTTACACCCCTATTCTCAAATCCGAGTTGCTTTCTCTTTGTGGTAATAGATTCAATCTTAACCCTCTATTCCATAGTAAAAGTGTGAGGAGAATCAAGGCTCTCTTTTTCTTTTGCTTTTGAGCAAGAAATAATAATCACAACAGCTGTCCTTAAGTATTTGTTGCATTTTTATGCTCAAGTTCTTAAGAAATGGTGTAAAATTTATAGTGGAGTGTTTCTATACATCAATACATCAGGTGGTTTCTGAAATTTACAAGGCTCTTTGAAAATGATTCATAAATGTACTTAAATTAGAAAACTTTATTTGTATGTATATAAGTACTTTTAAATGCATGTACTTTTGAATACTTAAGTATTTTCAAAAGTGAGTACTTTAATACTTTAATTTGAATAGATGTTTGAAAGTAACTTTTACCTGTTGTTTTACTAGTTGAGTAAGATTTGACTGAGTATCAATACTTCTACCGTACTCGAGTACTACGGTTGAGTACTCCTTCCTCCACTGTTGAAAATATGTTGATCAGAGTTGATTTTTAAGTTTAAGGCAAAATCCTGAATAGACCCCAGTTGTTCCCTTTTATCTTCCATCCAATAACCACACGTACTCACATGTCAAAATGCTGAAAACATTTTATGCGAGTGTTTCTACACAACGATTTTTTTAGAAATTTAAACTTTATAGGCTTCAGCTTTTTGGTGTAACATCATCTATGGCGTGTAAAACCGGCAGGAGGCCTCAGATCACAGCTTTGTGTGGGCTTGGTTTCATTGCTGCCATTGTTTTTATTTAAATTATTATTTCAGCATTGCTGAACAATTTAGACCTCCTCAGAATAAACTGAACAAAACCAGCCTCATAGTCAAGGTAGCCTTTATTCTGTTTCTTTTGTTTGTGTGTACTTTTCATTAATAAAGGCTTAGAGTTCCCTCTAAAGGTCTTGTTCACTATAAAAATACAATGGTTATAAAATATTGCTGCTATTTAAAGACCAGAGTTTCTTTTTTTTTCTTTTTTTTTATCTTACTTTGAATGAAAAAACTTGAGATATTCACATATTCTCATCTAAAATACCCAGAGATCAAATCAACACAGTGCAACCTTTCAATCAAGTATGAGCCTAATTTGAGAAATCTGAAATTATTTTTAGATGAATATTCAGCAATTTGTGCGTCTCGATGCTCTGTGTTTGCTGCCCTTATAAAAAAACATGAGAGGTTCAGGTTCATTGCTCAATGAGTTGTGATTCAGCGCCGCTTTAATGCAGTCTGAGCTCTCCTTAAACACTAACCCCTATTTACATAGCGTCCGCTCCACCCAGCTGTGCAACAGCAAATACGTGACAATTAACAATCAGTAAGAATATTTCCAAGGCTGTGCAGGGCAGCGGTAAATGGACAGAAATCAGGTCCCAGTAACGGGAAACTGAAAGATCACAACCAGATTTTCAGAATACTTTACCAAGCTATATGTGCTCAAACCTTGCTAAATGTGGACATTTACAAGTATATTTATATACAGGCCACTCCACGGTGGCTACTAGGTGTTTCCAGGATCAGGAAGCTGCAGCAGTGGAGGTGAAAAAAATAAAGACAATCTTACTGTAGAACCTCAAAGCAATATTTTGACCATTATATTTTGCGCTCAAATCTGAATCTTGAGCATGTATGGAAAGCCACAAGTGTCACATATTCAATCCTTTTAAAAGAGGCAATATTTCTATTTCTAAATGTGAACATTTCAATGCTACTTGGTGGGGCAGGCATCACATTGAGAGTATGTTTTTAATCCTAAATAGATAAATGCATATTTATCTTCATTAGGGTTGAAACAAATTATTATTTTGCTAATTGAATAATCTGTCGATACTTTTTTTTTTTTCTATTAATAGATTAATAATCGGATAAGAAAAGGTGCCTTTAAAGTACATTTTAAACAGACTTTAAACGAGGTGAAGCTAAAACTTTCACTTTAGGAATTCTGTATGGAGCATATTTACAGATTACATTCTTTTTATTTTATCTTAAAGCTACAGTGTGTAATAATTACAGGGATATACAGTCAGAAATGTAATATATTATACATAACTATGTTATTTATCATCATCTACGAGCTCAGCCTCTTAACTTTAATATTTGTGTTGCCTTAGAATTCGTTATTTATAATTACATAGGAGCGGGTCTCGCAGCCATGGAGGCAGACATCTTTGCGCTACGGCAGCGCAGAGCCAACAAACTAGCGATTGCGAGATTGCCCATTACGCTCGAAAGTAACTACGGCAAGTTGAGAGAGATGAACTGAGACGGTACTGAACAATAGGTACTAAATACTACTATAGATACTAATAAATACTATCTGTAAAATTATCTATGTAAACAAACCTCATCACTTGAGAAGGTAGGTGATGCGGACGTCGTGGAAGACATTTTGTCCCGTAACGCTCGCCGTACTGTTGGGGGGGAGAAGCGGTGGGGGGAAGATGTTCATGTTGCTGCGGTCTGCAGTCTGGACGTTAGATGTCGCTGAAAATTACCAACTGTAGCTTTAAATGCAAAGTGTTTATATAATTTTTTACAATTGCAGCGTCATTATTGCTGTGAATGGGTTGCTCTTTTAGCTAATGGATGAGTTAAAGTCTGTATACTCCAGGTAACAATCAATTATTTAATTAGTTTAAGATTATTTCAATAAACAAGATAAAAACACATTGTTTAATCTAGAGAACTGAATGTTTTTTTCTTGTCTTTACAATCATCTTAATGACTTCTCCAAAAGCTATTTGATACCAAAACATAGAGGGAGACGGTTTCATTGTGCAACAGTGCAGGGCTGCTAATTGCCTTCCAGGGAGCTAAGCCTGAAAGTTACACATCCAGCAGCTCTAGTAAATAAAACTTAGTGTTAATTTAAGGTTCTTAATTATGTCCTCAGAAATGAGCTTTTTAAAAACTATCAAAATTGATCATAAAGTGAAATCATACTGGTATTATTTTGACCAATTCCTTTATCAGGGATCTAGAAACTCCCGCCCAGAGTTACGTTATTAAACCATCTATATGCAAAAAGTGTTATATATTGACCTGAAAAAAATGCAAATTCAAATAAATAAGGTGACTGTCAGTTTTTATTTAAAAAGAGATAATTGGTTGGTTTAGATGCAGCTTTGCTAACCTAATGCTGCCATGCTATTTTTCTGCAGAACAAAATACTTTAACGTTAGCAGAGGCCTTTCAGACATGAAGCTCTTTGTTTTTTGTACGAGGGGCGTTCAATAAGTGATGCCCCTGACCCACTTCCAGATGTTTGATCGAACTGAAATTTTGCATGTGAAATTATTTAAATCTATATAGATTAAATAGCAAATTACAGCTCTGAACTAATTTTGGTTTCAGATATACAGGTGTTCAAACTGAGTCAAGTCTGTGTTTTTGAATTTGAAAGGACGCACACAATGGGAGACTTTTGATCAAATGAAAGTAACTTATAGTGATAATGTCCCATAATATGACCTTGTAAAACATTTTTCAAAGTCATATAATGGGCATCATCACCATACGTTACTTTAATTTCATCAAAAGTCTCCCTTTCAAATAGAAAAACCGGATCACTGCTCAACACTCAACAGGCCCCATGTCAGACTTTACTCAGTTCAAACACCTGTAAGTCAGAAACCACAAATAGTTCAGAGCTGTAATTTGCTACTTAACCTATAGAGATTGAAATAACCTCACATGCAAAATTTCAGCTGGATCAAACATCTGGAAGTGGGTCAGGGGCACTACTTATTGAACGCTCCTCGTGTTTTTTTTGCTGAGCATTTCATGGTGCGCTAAGAAGTTGCTGCGTCATCCTCTTTTGGGGAAATGTTTTCCCTTTGTGAACAGTAGGCCTCAATGAGCCATTAGGAACCTCAAACTGTTTATGAAATGGTCTCACTATTCTTATCTCTAATGACCTTAGAGAAGCAGCTGTCTGTGCTTATAGGTTTGAGCTTTTCAGGAAAAATGCTGACTTATTTTTCCCAGAGTGTAATTCATGTCCGGAGGCTTTCGTCTTTAACGGATCCATATTGGGTTCAAGTCCAGGAAACTGACCTTCTCCCCTTTCTCTCTACTCCATTTCCTGTAAGCCTACTTTCAAATAAAGGTCACTAAAGCCAAAAAAGAGCTGGACTCTTTACAATGCTGAAGTAAGTGACTTAACAGAGTTGAGTAAATTTTACTCTTCAACAGCTCTATCAAGATATTAGTTTTAGAGAACAACTGTTTGGGTAATTTCTTTTTTTGACATTTTACCCAAATTTCCTGTGCAGAGATGGTCACACTTGCTGATGATCAATAAATCAAAGCAATTGATCAGCAGGTTGAATGGACTGTGTCTTCCCACCTTCTGTGTTCATGCTTCCTCAAATGTAGAAGTTCTCACGTTTGAAAATGCAGATCAGCAGAAAAAGGCAGCTAAACGGCAGTTTTTCTCTCAATAAGGCCTGTTGGGACAGAGTCAAGGCACTATGGTCGAGTTCAGTTTGGAGTAGAAAGGGGGGGGGGCATCAGACTCAGGGCTCAGGTGACAGTTATGTTTTCTGGCTGCTGTTGAGACGATCCATGACGTAACCTCGACAACATGTTGGAACAGGATCAGTGTCCTCATAACGGAGACCAGAGTCAGTCGAGGGTCAGCTATAACACGTTATTGACTAAAAATGCTGATGTTTATTGGGAAAAAAATCTAACAAGCTTTGATTTCCTGTTTTTTTTTTTTTATTTTTTTTTTTTATTATCACTTAAAAAAGTCGCAAGTCTGTTAAATGTTATACCTTTTCAGTAGGAGTGTTTTTTTACTTAGATGCATTATTTTTGTAATTTAAAGTAATAACCAATTGAAAGGATAGAGCTTTTTTTAATTTACAATTTAATTGGGCTTTATATTTTATTTTGAAATTCCTCTGGATTAACCACAAGTATACTTGGCCTTAGTTTATTATTGTTGATTCAGTCCACTGTCAGGATAAAGTGATTGCCTCTGGGTTTCGAAAATAGAGATTTGTTTATTTCTAATGAGATCATATTACAGTTAATTGTGCAACATTCCTAGTTTAGTCTAAACTAAAAGGAAGTGTTTCTTCTACTTGAAATCATGTAAATAGTTAATAAATGACAAACTTATGTGTGACTTTCATATTTCCTTTCAGTTTTGATTGGTGTAATCTTATTTATCACAACATATTTTCACACAGTTAAATCCAATTTTCACATTAACTTAAGCTGCACCACCTGACCACACAGTCTTGCTCTGTATGCTGTAGTAACAGCTTTTAATATACATCTTTTGGTTTCTAGAAATTGCTGTTTTCCAAACAAAACACTTGCTTAATGTCGCCTCAAGTAACTCAGGGAAAGTGCAATATTAAGTTGGAGGCTGGATATTAATCTGGGATTAACTCTGTTCAACACGAAATCTGGAACAAACTGGCCGTGAAAACGTTATCCGATCTAAATGTGGTATTAAAAAGGCGTACACAAATTCACTAGGGTGCCACAGTTTTTCTGTACCTAAGCGGGGCTGTCCCTGTAGTGTAGATAGAAGATGCAAATATAGTGACTAAGTAAATAATGTGAGTGTAGCTTGCCTCCATTTAAATTAGCTATAATGCAAGGTTTCAGGTTAAAGTCTATACATTTGTTTATTTAGGGAAATTAAAAGATCGCCTTTCCCTCAAATGGCTTCAGATTCTCAAAGTCTAGAGCTTTTTGGATGATATAGATTGTATAAGAAACAGACAAATAGCTAATTTTGACCCACCTATTGTGTTAATACCTTGAGTTAATACCTGTATTCACATAATCTCTCAAAAAACTCCTGAATTCAGTTTCATCTACATATTATGGATTAGTCCTTGGACTTAGGTGCTTAGGTACCTTTGCACCTTTGTTAAACATGACATAAAAAAAGAACATATGCTGAAAGGTGGAGACAACCTTAGAAGAAACGGGTGGATGGGAGAACTTCTTGCACTGCTGAGTTTACAATAAAAGCATAAGGGAAGACACTAGGGATGCACGATATTGGGATTTTGGCCGATATCTGATATGCCGATATTTTAAAACTCATGTAGCCGATTACCGATATCGATACTGATGTTAAAGCTGGACAAAAATAAGTAGTCATTGAAAATAGCAGTTTTGTTATCCATTTCTGACACTTTGAAAAATAATATACTCAAA